GTTTTTTTTATCCTCCAAAATCTTACCACATAATGTGACAAAATGTCAGTCTTATCATATTTCAATTCTTCAGTAGCATCTGTTGCTGACATCAGAGGTCCTACAGAAGCCAGACACTTTAAATTTCTCTTTTCTCTTAACAGCCCCAAACTCCATCATTTTTCTGCACTTCTAGCGCTGCTTTTGGAATAGCAACACGACTCCCTACAGACTAACACACTAGAGCTCCCTACTGCCGTAGTGTTGCTGTTGTTACGTGCTGTCAAGCTAGCTATGATTCAAAGCAACCCTTTGCACAATTGCTCTTAATGCTGCCCTATTCTAAGCCAATCTCTCGATCTCCAACACCTATACACCCCACTATCCTAATTACTGTGGCAATCCACAGTCTTGCTCTGTCCCTCCACTTTTCCAAGCATGATACCCTTCTCCAAGAACTGGTCACTCCTGGAAACATGCCCAAGTATTTGAGACATAGATTCAAAATCATTGCCTACAAAGATCAACTTGGTTTCACCTTCTCCAGGACAGACCTATTTGTTCTTTTGGCAGTCCATGGTGTGTTCAACACACTTATCCAGAACTACACCTCAAAGGAATCTATTTTTTTGTCATCCTTGGTCATTGCCCAGCTCTCTGATACATAGCAAGTAATTGCAAATGGCCTAGCTCAGGCACAACTTCATCTCTAAACTGACATATTTCCTCTTTGGAGAGGCTGCTGTCAGCAGATTTTAAATCTATTCTTTTTTTTTACATTTCCTGACTGGTGGTGCCAAGACTGCTGACTGTGGAATCGGGCAAGCTGTAATTGTCAATTGGTCCAGTGGTGAGAATCTTTGTCTTCTTTACTTTAAGCTTCAATCCATATTGAAGACTACATTCCCTGATATTCTGCAGCAAGCACTTCAGTTTCTCTTGAGTTTCAGCAAGTAAGGTTGTGTCATCTGCATAAGGCAGGTTGTTGATGAGTCTACTTCCAATACTGATGCCACATTCCTCCTCATAAATCCCTGCTTCCTAAATTATCTGTTCTGCATATAGAGTGAAAAGATATGGAAACAGGATGCAGCCATGACACACTCCTTTTCTGATTTTGAACCATGCAGTGCTTCCCTATTCTGTTCTGCAAACTGTTTCCTGGTCCAAGTATATGTTTCATATAAGCACAATCAAGTGTTCTGGGATTCCCATTTTCCTTAAGGTTAGCCACAATTTGTTGTGGTCCACACAGTCAAATACCTTTGCATAGCCAATGAAACACAGATAGATATTCCTCTAGTACTCTTTGCTTTCTGCCAAGATCCATCTGACATTGGTAATAATGTCTCTAGTGTCGTGACCTCTTCTAAACCCAGCTTGTATTTCTGGCATGTCTTTGTCAATGTACTGTTTCAGTACTTCTATATGTTGACAAAGAAAGAAAGATTATATTCTGCAGTAGAATTCATTGCTTCTTGATCTAAGACCATTGAATGAAAATAATTTATGAAGCTTCTCATTTACACCGTGGTCTTAAATACTCAAATAGTAATGTATACATTTTAATGTAAAATTTCATGTATTTATTAGAGTTTATGAGCCTCAAGTGATAAATAAAATTTTAAAAGCCTGAATGGTGATAGTAGAATTGAGGTAAACTTGAAGAATGAGTAATATTTACACTATCTGGGCCTGGTATTACATGCCCAAAGCCCCAATATATTTTGCCACAAAGTTTCATGAGTTTATAAGCTTATGGGGATAATAAAACAATCTTTTGTGGAAGCTCACATGGCAAAAGTAGGATTGACTTAATATTGAAGGGTTAGTAAGATTTACATAAATAAATAAGAGTAAGGAGAATATATCTGACATTATGCATACATAATCAAAACATTCATTAAGTTGGAAATTCTTGACTTCATATACTATAGAAATTTTCAGTGTGAAGTTTAAACAAGTTTCTCAGAGTTGTATTACATAGTAGAAGAATTGTCACTATTGTTCTAGTTATTCTAACACAAATATAATTTGTTTGGGTTTATTTCTCTTTATATAATGAAGTCAGATAAAAGAAAAGAGGTAACATATGAAGCACACTAATCATTCTTATTTACATAAGGAGGTATTGTTGTTGTGTACCATCAAGTTGGAACCAGCCCATAGCTGTCCTTCCTGCGGGTTTTCAGAGGCAGTTAATTGCATGAGAGGAGGTTCTTTTGTCTTTCTCCAATGGAACAACTGGTGGAATCGAACCACATGCCCTCAGGATTGCAGCACAGCTTCTAACCATTAGGCCACCAGAGTTCTCTAAAAAAGACATAGTCTTTTTACTAAAATGGTTACCCCAGTAGGTTATTTCTCCCAATCTAATAACTGGATTCTCATTTACTTCTGAATTCTGGCCCTTAGCATTTTTTTTCTTCATGTAGGAGGCTAAACATAAAGCTGTTCCCTATTAATATTTATACCTATATAAAACTTGACTTCCTAGAACAAGTATGCTTTCTGAGGTCTTAAAAAACTTCCTGGTTAAAGGATACACCCTTTTAACAAGAAGGCAATTATTTTAAATTCTCCAGGGAATAAAAAAAAAAAAAAAGAACACTAAGCAATGGAAGAGATCCACATTCATTCCCAAAAAAGGTGAGCCAACATATTCTGGAAATTATGGAATATCACTAATATCACATGCAAGCAAAATCTTGCTGAAGATAATCTAAAAGCAACAAGAATAGTACATCAACAAAGAAGCGCCAGAAGTAAAAATTTGGTTTGGAAGAGACCATGGCACTAGGGATATCATTAATGACCAAAAAGCAAAGACTGAAAGCAGAGAGTATCAGAAAGATGTCTATTTGTGTTTTATCAACTACTTAAAGACATTTGACTGTGTGGATCACAACAAATTGTGGCTAAAATTGAGACAAGAAATAATCAGAGAACACATGATTGTGCTCATATAAAACCTATACTAGACCAAGAAGCTGCCGTCTGACTAGAGCAAGGGGACACTGCATGGTTCTAAATCAAGAAAGGAGTGTGTCAGGGATCTATACTTTCTGTTTACTTTTTTAATCTATATACTGAACATATATCAGTTGAGAGGCTAGACTTTATGAAGAAGAATGAGGCATCAGGATGGGAAGAAGGCTCAATAACAACCTGTGTAATACAGATGACACAACTTGACTCACCAAAACTTAAGAGAACTTGGAGTGTTTGCTGCAAAAGATCAAGGACTACAGCTTTCAATTTGACAGCATCTCAAGATAAAGAAAACACAAATCCTCACTATGTGGTCCAATAGAAAGCATTTTTATAGATGGAGAAAAGATTGATGTTTTTAACAATTTCATTTTGCTTTGATCCACAATCAACACCCTTGGTACCAGCAGTCAAAAAGTCAAATGTTGAGTTGTATTGGGGAAATCTGCTGTCAAGAACCTCTCCTGAGTGCTAAAGAGCAATGATGTCAGTCTAGAAACTACCGTACATTTGATCCAGGCAATGGTCTTCTCAATTGCTCACCATGCGTCTGAGAACTGTGCGATGAATAAGGATTATAGAAGAAGAATTTTAATTTGTGGTTCTGGAGAAGAGTATTGAACATACCATGGGCCAAGAGAACAAACATGTCAATCCTGGCCAGGGTAAAACCCGATTGCTTTTGGATACAAAAATTTGTACACCTCATCTCATATGTTTTGGGCATGTTTTCAGGAGGGACCTGTCCTTGGAGAAGGACTTCAGGTTTGGAAAGTTGGAGGATGAGCACAGAGAGGCAGACCCTGGACGAGATGGTCTGATACAATGACTCTGGCAATGGGATTACATGTGTCAGAGATGATGAGGTTGGCTCAGGACGGGGGAAGGTTCAGAGCCATTGTTTATAGGGTCTTTACGAGTTGTAGTTAACTCAATGGCATATAACAACAGCAACAATACAAAGGCACTCTCAAGGTCTAGTGGGTGAGAACTTCTACTGACAATTCAAAGATATACAGTTCCAATCCACCAGTTAGTTGCTTTGCCCAGAGAAAGGTAGGTAATCTCCTCAGGATATTTGCAGCCTCGAAAACCTACTGGAGGGTCAGCTATGTGTTAGTTCTGACTAGATGGCACATAAAAATAATAGAATACTAGGGTTAGTGCCTAGTGGTCTAGTGGATTAGAAGTTGTGCTGCCAGCCCAAAGCAGATGGTGCAAATACACCAGTTTCTCCAAGGAAGAAAGATGGGCAATCTCCTCCCACGTGATTTCTTGTTGTTATGTACATTTTAGTCGAAGCCAATGCAAAGCTGAAACTCCAGGGGGTTGTCAGAGGCAGTTAATTACATGGGAAGAGATTGTTTATCTTTTCCCCCAGAGGTGCTGGTGGATTCGAATCACATGCCTTGGGTTGGCAGTGCAACTCCTCACCACTAAGAGTCCAGAGTTACCCTCCCATGTGATTTAAAACCTATGAAAAGCCACAGAAGTATCCTTCAAACTCAGTGGTGCTTAACAGTACTAGGAGAGAGAAAAAAAAATTTTCTTCAGAAATGAACTCATGGAAGGTTGGAGAAAGGACATAGTTACTAATTGGAAACATTCATACTATAATGAAGGGATCAAACTGGGGAGAGCCATTGGCCTTTTACAGAAAACAAAAGAAAAATGACAAAATCGTTGGAAGTGGAATGTATGGGGGAAAAGCAGCAGCTGCAGCTCATTTCCAAATCTGCAGAGCAAAGTCTTTCTTAACACTCCTTCTTACATCAACCTGTCTATGGCTTCCTTGGTCACAGGTACTGAGCATTTTAAAATATTCCTGCATTTGAGGCATATAATTATTTATTATTTATGAAGCGGCATATATACAGGTCACATTCTGCCAAAGTAAAATTAATTTGTAGAGTACTTTGAAGTTGTGTAAGAGCTAAGTATTAGCAGTATCATAAAGCACATAAAAGTCACAGGATCTTGTAAGCTAAATAAGTGGAGAATGACTGTGATATAGAGCATTCTAAGAAGAAATGGCAAAGGGAGAGCCTCAGCGGCGAGAGCAGGCATGGACACCTCTGCCAAACAGGTAGGTTTAAGCAGAAGGGATTGCCATTGTCCCTCATGGAATTTTTTCTAAATTAGTTGCAGTAACTCATTTTTTTTATTTTGAAGTTCTTATGAAAGTGTTGCTGCTTCAACTTAATTATGGAATAGCAGTAATATAAATTATAAATAAAAAAGTATTAAGACTGAAAGTTTTATTATTACAGTCTGTTTTCCTTGTGATAAACTCCAATAAGAAGATGCAGGAAGTTTTATGTATGACAGCTCAAAAATAAAGACATTTTGGAAATTTACCCTTAAAGATATAGTTTTGCTTTGAAATTTGAAATTTTGCTTTGAAATGTCTGTGTCTATGTATCCACCGTTCACCTTTCTTTTTTTATTATTATTATTATTTTGTGTGCGTGTACCATCAAATCAGATCTGACTGGTACAGGAGGATATTGTGCCTCCTTCTCCGGCAGAGCGTCTGGTGGATTCGAACCGTGTGCCTCTGGGATTGTAGTGCAGTTTCTTGCCACTAGGCCACCAGAGCTCCCCCAGTGTCTATGTATCAATCTAAAGCATTGTGTCCTTTCTTGTCTATGTGCATGTATGCTTATGTAGAGATAGCAACATTCATATTATTTAGCCTATAGTAAGGTATAAACTTATATTTCAGTCTTAATTTTTTTATTGACATTTTATTGTACGTTTATAAAAAACTTGGATTTCCATTCATTCACTGTTGCACATTTTTCTCCCTGCCCTCCTCTGCTCAAGTTTGCTTTTTTCCTTTAGAAAAAAAAAAGTTCTTTCATTGTTATACAGTCCACCCCCCACTACCACTTTACTATGAAGCTCTTATTATGGACTCTTGTCATACCAGTAATACTTAATCATATATTTCTTTTGTACAGTTCTCTCCCTTGTCTGTTTCAATGCCATGTACATAATTTATCCCCTCTTTTCTTAGTTTCTCCCCAACACCCACATCAGTCCTGTTCTATAACAGTGACATTATAGAGTATTTGTCTTTTTGTGACTGAGATATTTCACTCATCATAATGTCCTCCCTGGTCACCCATTTTGTATATTTCATGAGTTCTTTGTTTTTCAGTGCTGCATAATATTCTATTGTGTTACTATACTACAGCTTCTCTATCCATTCATTTGCTGATGGGCACTTGAGTTCTTTCCAACTCTGCTATTGTGAACAAAGCAGCAGTAAACATGGGTGTGCATATATCTGCTTGGGTGTCAGTCTTAATTTTTAATTACCGAAACTTCACAATTTATAACTCAATAATATTTTAATCATGTGATTTAACAGTTTATTTGAAAACAACAGGGGATTTTAAGTGCCATACAGTATACACAACAAATTGTACATAAACAGCATAATGTTGTGTTGCTGTTGTTGTTGTTGTATATTGTAGAGTTGTAACTAACTCATAGTTCATCCTCCAGTGGGTTTTGAGAGGCACAAGAGGACACTGTGCATCCTTTTTACTGCAGAGCCACTAGGGGCCTTCAACCAAGTGCCTTCAGGACTGCAGTGTAGTTTCTTGCCACTAGGCTACCAGAGCACTCCATAATATTAAGTAGAATATCTTGATAAAGGGCTGTAATCATAAGACACTTTTTACCTTCACATTGATAGCTTAATTAGGTATAAGAAAACCTATGAATTTTCTTTTCCATCAAATTAAATTACCTATAATATTGTGTCTTATAATTTAAAAAATTGATAAATTATTTCCTCTAGGATTCTAAGTAATTGTGTTTTCTGGTCTTTGTTCTCAGCTGCTATGTTCCATAAAGGGTAGCAATACATGTTAACACTCTGTGTGACACAAAGACCAAGTGAAAGCACTGTGTAGGCAGGTGCTGTTTTCATATTTTCAAGAAATTAATAATTTTAAGTTCAACTAACCCACAAGCCATTGTTTCTAAAGTTCTTCTTCAATACTATTACCATTTCATTATTACTATACCTAAAGGGATTAAAGCTACACTTGATGAACAGTGATGAATAAATAAAATGCATATGAAAAAGTATATTGCTGACATTATTGCAGATTGCTTTCCTGTTCACTTACATTTTAACCTAAGACTCAATTACTGTTGAACTTTAAAAAAATGTTGTTATTGTTGTTGTTAATTTTATACTGGTTTAATATTGGTTTATTTACAAAGTTCATATACATTGTTTTCACACCATATCTTTCCCATTTTCTTTACCCAACCATCAAATTGTGCAACATGATGATTAAAGTCCCCTCCCCTACACATCCTCATCCCTCTGCTCCCTCCCTATCCGGTTGGATTCTACAATAAAGGTCTTATACAGTATTTGTCCTTATGGGACTGAGTTATTTCACTTAGTATGAAACTCTCCAGTACCTCCCAAGTTAGGCAGTGATTTTTAAAAATCATTGCTCCTACATGCTGTGTAGTATTCCACCATGTGAATGTACCATAATTGCTCAATCCATTCAATTGTGGTTGGACATTTTGGCTGTTTCCATGTTCTTGCGATGGTGAATAAGACTGCTATAAACATTGGTGTACAAATCTCCATTTTTGCCTCAGTTCTCACTTTCTCAGGTCATATTCCAAGCAGTGGAATTACAGAGTTATATGGAAATTCTTTGTTCAGCTTTGTGAGGAAACGCCAAACTGCCTTCCAGAGTGATTGTATCATTTTACAATCCCACCAACAGTATATAAGAGCTTCTCTCTCTCCACATCCTCTCCAACATCTATTACTTGCTGTGCTGTTAAACTTTTCCACTGCTACTTGGGTGACATAGTGTCTCATTGTGGTTTCAATTTGCACCTCACTTATTGCCAGCAATTTTGAGCATTTTTTTCAGTGTGTCTGTTGGCCTTCCAAATATCCTCCTCTGTGAAGTCTTTCCAAGTCTTTTGCCCATTTTGCAATTCTGTTATGTCTTTTTCTTGTGGAGGCCATATAGAACTCTGGAAACTTTTCCTATGAGACCCTTGTCTAAAATGGTATTGCCAAATGTTTTGGGGTTTTTTCCCCCCAGTCAGTAGATTTTCTTTTTACCCTGTTAGAAAAAAATTTTATGTGTATAGGTATTTAATCTTTAGAAGGTCCCATTCATCAATTTTATTGTGTCCAGATTAAGTATTTCTGGTTGTATTTGTCAGTCTCTTTATACCATAGACTAGGCCATCTAAGCTTCATCCCAGTTTGTCTCTGATGAATTTTATGGTTTGGAGCTTTATTCCCAGGTCTCTGATGCACCTTGAGTTGATTTTTTGTGCATGGTGAGAGATGGGGGTCCTGTTTCAGCTTTCTACAGGTGGAAGCCCCGTTTTGTCAGCATCATTTGTTGAAGAGGTTGTAATTTTCCCATTTGATAGCTTTGATTTCCTTGTCGAATATCAGTTGGCCAGATAGTTGGGTCTATTTCTGGGTTCTCTATTCTGTTCCATTGGTCTATGTGTCTGTTATTGTAACAATGCCATGCCATTTTGGTTCTACTGCTGTATGGTAGGTTTTTGGTTTTGGTTTTTTTTTAACTTTTTTTTATTTTATTAATTATGTGTGTGTGTGTACCGTCAAATCAGATCTGACTGGTACAGGAGGAGATTGTACCTCCTCCCTCAGCAGAGCCTATGGTGGATTCGAACTGTGTTCCTCTGGGATTGCAGTGCTTCTTCTTGCCACTAGGCCACCAGAGCTCCCCTTGTGTGGTAGGTTTTAAAGTCAGGGACTGCTATGCCTCATACTTCATTTTTGTTTCTCAGAAGTGTCTTGCTTATTCAAGGTATCTTTCCTCTCCAAATAAACTTAATAATTTTCCTTTCAATATCCTAAAAAAATAATTTGGTATCAGTATTGGGATTGTGTTTAACATGTAGATTTTTTGGGATAGGATTGTCATTTTTACAACATTGAGTCTTCCTATCCATGAACAAGACACATTTTCCCCTTCCTTTATGTCTATTATTGTGTCTTGCAGAAATGTTCTGTTTTTTTTCTTTGTACAGGTCTTTTGTGTCTCTAGTTAGGTTAACTCCCAAGTATCTCAAATTATGGTTTGCTATTTTAAACGGTGCATAGGGTTTTCAGAGGCCTGCTATTTCAGAAGTGGATGGCCAATCCTTCTTCCTAGTCTGTCTTAATGTGAATGTTCAGATTTAGAGAAGTATCAGACAGACCAGCAAGTTAAAGGTATATCCCTTATTGCGGAGTTAACTTTAGTGTCAGTGTTGCCCCTGCCTTTCTCACACACGTCTTTACCCAC